CATTCACCAGTGCGCAGGACCACAGCCCCCTCCTCACGCCCTCTCCACACGAGGCATCCGTCGCTGTGTGTTTGCGTCATCGCGCCACGCCACCACTAGAGCCCGAGTGAAGATGGCGGCAGCCGTTCTTAGTGGGCCCTCTACGGGCTCCGCGGCTGGGGTTCCTGGCGGAACTGGGGGTCTCTCGGCGATGGGCTCGGGTCCGCGACTCCGCCTGCTGCTGCTGGAGAGCGTGTCCGGGTTGCTACAGCCGCGAACGGGGTCCACTGTTCCTTCGGTGCATCCCCCAGTCCGTCCGGTCCCACATTTGCCCGGGCTCATGTGCTTGTTGCAGCTGCATGGGACGGTGGGCGGGGCCCAGGTGAGTCCTAGGCCCGAGTACCCGTGGCGCTGTTGGAAGGTTAGCGCGGGGTACCTGCGCGCCGGAGTCCCGGTGCGCTGCAGCTGCGTTGGGATGTTGAGGGAAGAAGAGCTGGGGGCAGAAAGCGGGTCCGGGTTTCAGTCCGAACGAGATTCACGCATTTCTCCTGTACCAGCCATAAATTCCTCCAGGGAAGAGAATGGGCCTTATTTCTTTGTTGCTAGGCTGTTGGTAGGCACATATGAATAGATTCAATTCCAGGCCCCATTAGTCGCTAGTTGTATGATCTTTAACCTCTTTTCTTTCGGTTATGTCTATTGGTTTGTTTCTACTGAGTTAGTGCACGTATACAATGAATAAACGTTTACTGAGCTCTTAGCTGAGAGCTAGGTACTGTACTAGGCGTTCCAGTTATGGAGGTGGTGGCAGATGGACAGAACGTTATAAAACACTTCGAGAATTGTAGAGTAGGGGTCCTCTAACCTAATGTGGAGAATTGGCAAAGGTTTTCTTGAAGAATTGGAGTTTAAGCTGAGATCCCAAGGATGTGTAGGGGTTGGCTTGGGAAAGAAAATGGGGAGGAGCGGCTCAGTCAGAGGAAAGCTCATGTGGGAAGACCCTGTGGTAGGAAGAAATTGTCAAGAAGGTCATTGTGCCT